ATAAATGAATATATATATATATACACATATGTATACGTATGAGTTTGTACAGACAGACACTATAGGTTAAACTTCCGATGCTCATCTGTATGCGACAAGGTTAAGCCCTAAACCACTGAACCCAAACCGTTGTGAAGGTTCCTTACGTGAGTTCGGTTATGCTTAAAGCTGCACATGCATATCTACCCACACGATGTGTACCCATGCATATGTACATACGTGCATACATAAACATGCTCAGATAAAGACATGAACATACAACAGATCAAACACAAATTCTACAGACGGGCAGACGGACGGACTTGCGCATGCACTTTTTCCACACATCCGCACACACGTGCGTACATGCTTGCATGCGTAAGATTAGAAGACTTCTGGGGCAAAGGCTTTCACATCGGGCTACCATGCGAAGATTGGAGGCACGACCATTTCGGGGCAGGGCCGAGGTCTTCCAGCCGAGGCCCGTGACGGCCAAGAAGTTCAAGAAAAAACAGCCGTCGTCCTCGTTTCGCCTCCAAAACTTTAGGAGCATCCCGAAATCCTGCACCCTAAATGGCTTTTGGCTCAAGTTTCGGCTCAGGCGGTTGTGTGGTCTCTGTGCCTCTAGTTGTTGAGGGTCTGTCGGGTGGGATGTCCGGTGCTCTTGCTGGCCTGGCTGCTCAAGTGACCGGCCAAACCCTTGATTCGGATGCCCAAGCTGCCCTTGATGCTGCCCTGGGTAGGCCAGTCCTTGAGCGCCTGAAACCCCCAGGAACCCTCGCTGATGATGATGACACGAGTGAAGAAACAATCGCGACTGGGGACCCCTAACGTCGGAGGAGGGGAGGAAAGCCCGGCAAAAAAGGCCAAGCGAACGACTGAGGGGCAGGAGGAGCAAGATGAGGATACGACGCAAACAGATGAACTAGATGTAACAGGACAGCCACCTGGAAGTCGAGAGGAACCTGTTGGTGCAGTTCCCCTTAGTCAACAAGAAACTCAGCAGTGGCCCCTAAGATTAGCTGAAGGTCCGACAGAGGAACCCCTGCCAGAACCTCCACGAACCCTCTTGACGTCGGCACCCCATCATGAAGCTGCCTGCCCGCCTGCGAATTCAGGACTTGCATGGAATTCGGAATCGAAGCCGTTGAATTCGCGACTTTCAGGTGGGGGACTCGACATCCCTTCAGGTGGCAAGCCGCTTGCAGGTCTGGTAGATCAAGCATCGCGACCCCAACATGACACAGGTGAGGACCGAGGCGTATCTCCGGCTGTTGGCCGGACTGGGGTTGGACTTCATACACCGCTCTTTGCGGGTAGTTCAGGACCGCCACAAGTCCCCACGACACCGCGACGACCAGTCGAGCACTACAACCTTGATGAGCCCTCGTGGCTCCCTTCGCTCAAGCTAGGCATTCAGGAGTTGAAGGATAAACAGGAAGAAATCCTTGCTGTTGCTGATTCCAACTCTAGGGAAATTGCAACACTGTTCCATAAAGTCGATGACGTGGTCCCTAGAGTGGAGGTTCTTGTTAATGAGCACAACCGTGAAATTCGTGAACTCCGTCAGGAGATCACCAACCTGCGCTCTCGCTCAGTATCGCCTGCACCCGCTACAGGAAATGCTGTGTCTCCTGTTCAAACTCCCCGACAGGATCCGCGTTATGATGACCTTCAAATTGCGTGCGAAGGGTGGCAGGATGCTAAGAGAGGGGATATTGAGAGAGAGATTCAGCAAGCCTTTGCCAGTGCAGGGGGTCAAGGGCTCATTCAAGACCTCATCGTACCCTGTGCACAAAGCTGCTTTGCCCGTATTGAACTCAAATACCCCCCGGGAGGATCCATTGCTGAAAAACGCCGTTTCCGAACCCAAGTCATTTCCACCTTGAAAGCTCAACTCCCCAAATCCAGCATTCCTGGCCAGGATCAATGTAAACTCGGGTTTACGAGAAACCGAAGCCCTGAAGAGAGAGCCAAGCTAAGAGCTATTCTTTCCACAAAGGACGCACTTGCAGCTCTGCGACCCACTGCAGACATTGAACATGATTGGCGGGGAAAGGTTTTTGTGGATGGGGTCAATGTGCTGGGGCTTGCAGGGTCCGCAGCGCTGCCGGCAGATGCGTTTATGCACACCACTACTAGAGGGGATCACAGTGGCTGGTACGTGCATGTAGCTAAAGCAGCCCAGCTACTGGGTGTGAGCTCGCAGCAGGTCACAGACTCCCTTGCCAAAGTGCTCGGTGCCCCCTAGGAAATTGGCAGGGGACCACCCAGCAGCAAGCGCCGAGCCTACCATGATCTCACCATCCTTCACTGGAACTTGCATGGTAAGTCGCTGACACACATTGACAATGTGATTAATTCAAACATTGATTGCCCTGACATACTGTGTTTGCAGGAGGTTGGAGGGCTAAAGGATGTCAAAGAAGTTCAGGCACTCCCGTTTGCCATAGGCAAACAATCTTATGTGGCCTATGCGTTGGAAACACCGGAGAGTTGGCGCGGTGTTTTTACAGCAGTTCGCTCTGACCTCACAGTTTCAGTCTTGCGTTCCCTGCCCCACCCTTTCGCAGTTATGGCGGTGTTGCGATTGCAAGGAGTTGATTGGTATTTTGCCAGCTTGCACTTTCCTCATGACAAGCGAGTTAATGCAGAGGAGACGTGGTCTTCAGGAATTCAGATTTTGGAGGAATTCATATTGCCAGCAAGAATTCAGGACCGTATTGTGATTGCTGCCGATGTGAATCAGGACCTCAGTCAGGAGCTGGACTCCTTTTCTCAAATCCCGCGATTGCGTGCATGTCTTAAATTAACGGGGTTAGACGTTCTTGTTCCTGACAAGAATACGTGGCACGCCCGGGGAATAAGCACGAAGATTGACTTTCTTTTGGTGAGAGCCTCAGGCATGGACTTCAGTTTGCATGTGCATGATGACTTGAGACTTGCTTTACCCTCCGACCACTCCGCCCTCTCTCTCTCGCTCTTCTCCAGAATCCCTTTCTATAGAAGGAGGCCCTGGGTCGCCAGGAAATGTGGCAAATGGGCAGTGCATGAAAACCTGGTTAAGCAAGGTTTGGAGAAGCATCGCTTTCTCAGCCTTGACCACTGCGAACTTGAAAAGCTAGCCGAGGGGAGTAGCTTCCGCCCACCGAACCTTCGGTACAAGGACCCCCCTGAAACTAAAGAACTCATCAGGCAGCGTATCGGGGGATGCAAGGACATTGCTTATGCGAGAAATTCGAGAGACTAGGGAGAAGGCTCAGGTGCAACACAAAGAAGACCTGCTTGCGAAGAAAAGAGCAGGCGACAAGGTTGCTATCGCTCACATGCGTCGTTCGGCAGCGAGCTCACTCTCAGATGGGAGCTATGTTCAGAGAGCTGGAGGGCATGATAAAGCAGTACGGGATCTCAAACAGTTTTATGCATGCAAGTTCGGTAGCCGTGACCCGACTTCGCTATTCCCCCTGGACCAGGAGCTACGCCGGAAACATGACTCCGCACCAGTTGCTCCTGTTACGAAACAGGAATTACTCACTCTTCTTGGTGCATGCAAGGGCGCGACCAGTACAGGACTTGATGGAGTCTCCTACGATGTCATGACACACATCCTGAAACACGACACACAAGACCTCCTGCCGCTTGGTTCGATCGTCTCCTGTCAGGCCAAGAGGCTATACCGACACAATGGAAGTCGGGGAAAATAACCTTTCTGCCCAAAGTCAGTCGCCCCCTGAAGCCATCACAGCTTCGCCCTATCTGTCTGACGTCTACTGTGTGTAAGTTGTTCGGTAAGCTGCTCAGCGTTAGACTGCGAGGGGCACTCCCTCCCTTCGAGGTTGCCCAGCTTGGAGCCCGGAAGGGCTGTCAGGTCTTAGACGGGATCACGACTGCTCAGATGATGTTATCCTTGTCCCGGGCAAAGAAGCAACCGTTGCTGGCCGTCAAGCTAGACTGCTAGACATCGCAGCGGCTTTCGACTCGGTGCATCACCGTAGTGTAGCTCAGTTCTTGCTGCAGAGCGAGCCCGCACAGGAAGCTCTTA